GTGCATCCAAGTATAATGTTGTAGGCGAAAAGGCAATTGATGACGAGGAAAGTAAATAGCTTTGTGGACTGCTGTGGATATTCTCCGATGGTGATTGGGAGATCGATGGAGCCTATGGATGTCACCCGATCTCCGTTGAAGCCGACCGGAGGGGTTTGTAGAGGTGACAACTTTTCTTTCCCGACCTTGAGATGTCGGTAGGCATTAAGGAAGATGACGTCTGAGGAGCTACCATTGTCGACAAGTACTCGTCTGACTTTGTAGTTCGATAAGAAAGCAGAAATGACTAAGGGGTCATCATGGAGGTAGCAAACACCTATGCAATCGGCCTCCGTAAAGGTGATCGGTTCAGACCATTACTTGGGTTGTTTGTAAGGGCAGTCTATTGTCGTTACTGCCTTATCGAGGCTTTGCCTAATTTTTCTGAGCTTGGCTTGCTGTGCCGACTGAGATGGTCCACCACAAGCGAGCCCTTCAGTGATGACTCTGATCTCACCTACTGGGGGGGCAGGGCCGCCTTATGCTCAGGGTTGTGGTGGAGCTCGGTCATCATGTTGTCTAGGTGGTTCAGGCTGTTTAGGAGGGGTATGCCGGTTATTGTTCCTGAGGGGGTCCGTCCTAGGTTTTTGATGAGGGTGGGCTATTGTGAACCGGTTGAGGTGCCCCTGTCGGATCAAATCCTTGACTTGGTCTTTAAGGTTGACACACTCTTTAGTGGTATGGTTGTGGTCATGATGGAAACGGCAGTACTTGGATTGGTCCTAGCAGGTGGAAGGGGATTTTGATATTTGGGGCCATTTGAGGTTATAGTCACGTTGGATTTGGTGCAAGACTTGTTCCATAAGTGAATTAAGAGGTGTGTATCATTCGAACCAACCGAGTGGTCAGGTAGGAACTGGTCGGTCCGATCGCGGAGGTCAGTCGGTATACTGCAGAGGTCGGTGGGTGTATTGAGAGTGCCTGGGCTCAAGTTCTTTTATCTTTTCCTTGGACTGAGAAGCTTTGGATGTGAAATCTTGACGAGCTGCCAGGGAGTCCACAGCATTTATGTATTTCTGAGATTTGACGAGAAGGGTTGCCATTGCGGTCAAAGGATTTTTGAAGAGGGAAAAGAGAAAATTCGACGGGCGCAAACTGGCCATGAAGGCTGTAAGAATGACCTTATCGTTGTTTTCCTCCACTTGTAAGGCCTCTACATTGAAGCGGGTGACAAAGCTGTACAGCGTTTCCCTCTCAGCTTGCTAGATATTTAGCAGTTGAGTCACCGGGCGTCGTTGCCGCTGCGCATCGATAAAATGGCTCAAGAAAGACTCGCTGAGTTGGTGAAAGGAAGTGACGGAGTCTGGGGGAAGCTAGCCGAACCAGAGTCGCGCCAACCCCTTCAACGTGACGGGGAAATCACGATACATGATCTCGTCTGGAAAGGCATGAAGGATCATAAGTGTCTGATATGCTTCCACGTGGCCAATCGGATCAGTGGTGCCATCAAAGGCATCAATCGATGGCATTTTGAACTTAGGGGGTAGAGCTTTATCCCTGATGGAGGTGGTGAAAAGAGAGTTAACGGTGGAGGAAGGTTTATGCTGCATGTTTTGCATGACTTCTTGTAGTTGAAGCTTCATGGTCCGTAATTCTTCGTCCCAAACAGGGACATTGTCCCCGTAAGCATGAATTGGGGGTTGAACACTGCTAGCCTCGCCTTCATGGATAGCAGCGTAGTGTAGTGGATGATGGTTATGAAAAAACGGTGGTCCCTCCTAGCGGGGCTACGAGCCTGGAGGAGGGGTGTGCAAGTCGTCAAGGTTCGACGGTTGAAGTTGTGGGACAAAGGGCGAAAATATTCCTAGGGATACATGTGGTGGGAATTGGTGGTGATTGTGGGTTTGTTCCGGGTTATGGGGGACTATTTGTGGTGGTGGAGGAGGGATAGGTAAGTCGTGCTGGAGCAAAGCGTTGATCAGGGCTTGGTTTTGTTCGGTCAGCCAGTTGATGCTGTTAGTGAGTTCTGCGAAATATGGGGGTAGGTTATTTGGATTGGAGGACCTTCAGGGTTACCAGCATTGTGTTGTCAAGCCATAGACCTGGTTATGACCATCCATCCTGACGTAGGAGATGGGTGATATGGGAGTTCCCTCCGGTGACAATGAACACAACTGTCAGCTAGAGATTTATTCCTATAGACGACGCCAACTGATGATGCAGTTACTTCAATGGAGGATGGGTCGGACTGATCTACGCTTCCAACGGGTCTACTAGCCGCGTGCCTGCAAAAAGGTCCAAAAGGGGAGATAATCCCCTGACAGACACTTCGACGGTCAAGTTAGGTGAAAGCAAATTGACTTGAGAGAGAGAGAGAAGCAAGGGGATAGAAAACTTAACCTCGACATATCTCAAAAACTTCCTTATATCCTTTGCTCATCATTTCTTTGTCCATTCCAATCTGTCTTGTTGGCCGAAAGTTTATAGCCTAGTTGACATCGTTCATGGTGAGTCTGCCTCCTCCGGCGTGAAGGGGTTGGTGCATTTAATGTTACAAGGGCCTCATTAAATGGTTGATGTGTGGGTGCAATAACTTTGCAAGTTCTTTGTCTGCTTACGTGGCTAAGTCTTTGCCTAACAGGTGTTTGAATGCTATTAGTCCTAGCCCAACATTGATTTCTCAAAGTTACTAGGCTTCAATATCTGGGCTGTGAGTTGGGCCCTAATCCGTGGGTTGGGCCGTCTTGGGTGCCCATTAGTATCAAAACTGTCTTCAATTAAACCATGCATAACACTACAATAATAAATGAGAGCATAATGTTCACTTTATATAAGTGAAACAATTTACTTTTTCCTTCATTTCTCGATGTGGGATTATAAAATAAAAGTTAACAATTCTCTTAGGCGGGAAATTTATTTCTAATCAAGCAAATCTAACCAATATATTTTGATAAAACCGTTAACATCGTGGTTAAACCAATGAATCAATCAAACAAAAAGTGATTCAGCCTAATTGGTTAGGTCAAAAGACCAACCAACTTACACAAAAATTAATTAATTAAAATTTTTAAATTTTATTTTAAAATTTAAATTATATTGAATTGAAACATGCACAATACTACAATATTAGATGAGAGTATAAGATTCCCTTTATATAAGTGAAATAACTCACTTTTTCTTTCTTTTTATGATGTGGGATTATCAAATAAATCATAGACTAATTAGAGTTTTATTTTTATATGGTTAAATGAAAGTTAGCCAATGTAAATTTTCTCAATTGTTTAAAAATAAGAAAATTAGTATAAGATATTGAAACTCTCACAAGACTCCTCACTTAAAACTCCATTTTGCTTATATAATATATAGATTATTGAATTTTTTTTTATTTGTAATTATTTATTAAATATTAGTCAAATAATATATTATGATATTAACTATTACTTTAACTTAAGGAGTTGTGGTACTTTGGTAAAGCTTTGGGACATAAGCCCCGAAGTCCCAAGTTTCACACTCCCTATGGTCAACTCCCAGTGGTTTTGTACAGTGGTCCTAGGACGGCCCTTTAAGTGCTAGATGACCCGTATCTACGCTTCGGTGTGGAGTCGAATCCTAACAGTTACACTCTCTGACTAAACTGGTGTGTCCATTGTGGAGTCGATGCACACACCTGAGGTTTATCCCTCGTCCTACTCTGGTTAACTGACATTATTGTAGATACACCCGAAATTTCCCCTCGTCCTACTTCGATTAACCGACATTAGGTAATTGATTCTGAAATCGGCGGATGACAGACTTGGAGAGTTTACTCGTTAACCCCCCAAAAAAAAAACTTTTTTATTATTTTAATTTTATTGAATTTGTTTATTTGTAAATATTTATTAAATATTAGTCAAATAATTTTTTTGCTACAAGGCCACCTAATAATTTTTGATATTTTTATGGCCAGTCTTATTTTCAAGGGTTATTACTTAATAAGTCTTTAATGGAGACTCTTTTACCTATAAGTCTTGAACATTTTTGTTCATTCCGTTTTTGCCCTCATGTTTTTATACTCAAATCTGGAGATGAAAAATGAAAAAAAAAAGAAAAAAAAAAGCTCTCTCTAGAAGATGAAGATGAACTTGCTCGTAAGAAGGTAAAGAGAATTGACACAAGTGAGGAGAGGTTGCAGCGATTGGAAAATCAACACATTCGAAGGAAGCGAATTGGTATCATTGATCAGTCGAGTTCTTCGTTTGAATCGGAATCGGAATCGGAATCGAAAGATGGTGCAGTTTCGACATCAAAAGACGCGATTTATAGTGAAAAACTTCGATGTGATGAAGTCAATGCTTCATGTGAGTTATAGTGAATCAAAGGATGCTGAAAAATTGAAGGAGAATGTGGAGTTGGAATTGGTTGTTAGCAATAAGGCTACTAATAAGGTTGATTTGCTTGAAGGAGATATGAAAAGATTTGAAAAAGGTTTGAATGGTGATGGTGGTGGTGGTGAAGAGGTGAAAGAGAAGGATGGGCCAAGATTCAGGGATAACATTTTAACAGTGATAAATTTGTTTAAAACAGTAATAAATTTATCACTATTGAATTTTTGTAAATTTGTTTTTGTGAATTAGTGAGCGTGTATGTATGTAACTATGAAATTTATCACTGATAACATTTTAACAGTAATAATTTATCACTGTTAAATTATTGTAAATTTGTTTTTGTAAATTAGTAAGTGTATAGATGTGTCAAAGGATAAAAATGAAAAACATTGTTTGATTTTTTTGGATAGAACCTGCTGGGTAATAAGACCGATCTATAAAACCGGCCTGTAACTTTCCCATAATTTTTTCCATTGGCCTTCAACTCATGTTTGTTTGGAAAAAATTGAGTCTAGTGTAAGTTTTGAAAAAATTATTATAAATATGTGAAACTTTCCGAATATTAACAATTAAAATCATACTCTTTTTTTTAATGAATTTATAATAAGTTTCTGAAACTACTATTGAATGGTAATTCCTCCTAATATTTTCAACGAGCTTTCATGAAACAGACTGCAACAGGAACAGACAACTAATATCAAACGGCCACGATGAAATCCAACTAAAATCAAAGACAAATATAGTAGACAGCTCGCTAAATAACTTCAACATTTTGATATCTACACATTCACATCGACTCCAATTGTACATGGATTTCAGAGTATTACATTTCGGGGTATACATGTTAAAATGAACTTTTGCAATTGCCAAAGCTCCATATAGAAAACAGTATACGAAACCTGCTACTAAATACCCAGTTAACGAAATCTTCAAGGACGAACAAACCTCGCACTTTAGACAACGACGACAATTGAGATGAGGCTAAAAAAAAACCTACGTTGCAACTCCCTATGTCTGCAAGTCACAAAGTTCATGGAAGAACTGTAATTTATCAGAAAACAAGATCAGAAGAAACGGAAATTCCCTTCGGCATGTCATTGCAAGTATTGGTTCTTTTTAGCACTCTCTCTGGTAGGGCTGGGCATATTTGCAGTAGGGCTGGGATGATATGTGCTTTGACTCAAGCGCGGAGGGGATAAACTAGGAAGGGCATCCAGAGTAGAACGAGGAGAATGACGGGGCACCGCTGTCAAGTCTGATTGTTGACGAGTCTCACTGGAGAAAATAAAATATGGATGAAGCGGGAGCTAGCAGTCATGAAAGAGTAAATATTTGCCAATTCAAGTATGCAATTAAGTGCATGTTTGATAAGTTGGAATGGACTGTAATAGGACGGCCCATTTAGCATTCTATATTTTTTCTTGCTTGGTGCGACTTGTGTAAGTGGGGATAACTATTTTATTTTATTTTTTGATAAATTAGTAATAACTATGTTATTGGAATGACTATTCTAACAAAATGTGATAAATACCTATTTACTCCTCCAACATCAGGAATAGACACTTCTTTTTCTTTTTTCTTTTTTCATTTTCTTTTTTTTTGATAAATACACAAGGAATAGACATTTCACTACATCATGGAATCATCCTAAAACAATGTCAATTAGTGTCTATTAGCCTCCCCTGTCCCTACAACCACTGCCACTGCCACCACCAACAGCATCATTGATATACAGGTGTTTATTGATTATTATTTTATTTTATGGTTGAGATTTACTGGCAAGTCACATCAGAAAAATTGATGTGACTTGCCAGTAAATCTTAACCACACAATGTAGCACTCTAGAAAACTCTAGGAAAAAATCACTCTAGAGGATCCTTGCTCGTGTCTATTAGCCTCCCCTGTCCCTACAACCACTGCCACTGCCACCACCAACAGCATCATTGATATACAGGTGTTTATTGATTATTATTTTATTTTATTATCTCATACCATCAGTGTAATAGGTTTTTAACCAAACATAGGAATAAGAATTGTCTTTTCATATTGGCAATCAAACAAGTGAAATGAGAATTAACAATTCATTCTATTCAACCTTATATGCCATTCTCACTTCATTTCATTCCTGCATACCAAACGGAAGTGTGTGGCCTGGTGACATTACATGGGGAAGGGAGATAATGCAGAAAGCAACTTACTTGTTTGCTGGTTTTACTCTATTTGTCTGTGCCACTGGAGACACTACCAACTGCTCGAGTTTATGACTGGGAAGCTCTCTTGGAGACAATGCTATATCCTGTTAAAACTACACAAGTTATAGTACAAACAAATCACTCAAAATTCAGAATAGAGTAAGTCTGCAAACCATAATTTACCGTTAATTTCATTGCATTAAGTGCCTGAGTGCAAGTTGGAACATCCAATTGCTGTGGGTTTTTCAAGAATCGATGTTCTAGTAACATGCTGGCTGATGGCCTCTCTGCTGGATTTCTGCAGAAACAACTACGTAAGAAATCCTTGCCTTCAGGCGACAAGGTTTCGGGTATGGAAGGGCTCTCTCTCATAACCTTGAACATAGCTGCAGCCTGCATAGAAAGAAGAAACCATAAGAAACTTAACTATCAGAAGGGGAACAGATGAACACAGTAGTAGATGGTCAGTCTTGCTATCACCGCCCTCAGGGCATTGTTTAATAGTCCAATAAAGACAATTTAAAATTTCAACACACATTTCATTCATTTCTATACACTTTCATATATAGTTATACACTTTTCAGATATTTCATACACAAACACATGTTCCAAGCTTAACCAATGCCCTAAGGGCATGGTTCTTTATAATGAATGCAAGCAAATTTATAATTCACCAACTTCAACAGAAGCACAAATAAATTGGAGCTAAATGCAGAACCTAAAAATCAGATATCGGATCATGATATACTTTGATCCTATAACAAAAATTACCTGTATTCGTAATGTAAAAGGTATCCATTGTAAAAATGTAAATGTGAGAAAGCGAGTCTGAGTGTAGGATTAGCTACTTCACAGAAATAATGGAAAGTTAGATCCGGATTCAGTGTCAGCACTCCCAAACCCTTGATTAATGGGGAACCAACCCTGAATTCTGTCATTCACATAACCAGTGTCCCCATGATACATGCATACACTACGTAACATGCCATCAAGTCCAATAACACATTGGTCATGCATGAAAAGCTACTTGTCTCTTTCGGATGTTCAAGGAAAGAAAATCCTGAAAATGGTACAGAAAAGCCATATTGCTGTGCTTTTGAAGCCAAAAAATAAAAATAAAAAAATTCTTCAATTATAATTTTACACGTGTCCAAAATGATAGAAAATGGCTTCCTTAAACATTCGAAAAAGGCAAAGGTAGTATGATATGTATAAAGGAAAGGGAAGGAAAGAATGAGGCGGGATCATACAATCGATGGTAGAAAGCTAACATTCACAGAGATCGAACAATAATACTGAATTTTAGCATTCTACAGAAAGTATCCAAGCCAACTGCAATTCATACAGTATTTTCAATGTAACTTCAGTATTCCAAGTGATAGAAAGAGAGAGCTTACACAAGATACCAAATCTATTCCATGGTTCACACGAGAGAGAGAGAGAGAGAGAGAGAGAGAGTATTTAAGAGACAACACACAGCAAGATAAAACTCGGACATCTGTCCAATAACTGGACAATAGCACAAATGACAACAGGGAAAAGCACCACGGACATCTAAGATGCAACACGTAATAGGAAGACAATAAAAAACCAATCACAATAAAAAAAAAATTTGGTACAACAATCACAATAATTTTAAGAGTGTGTATATATAAATAGAAAATTTATACATAATTTTTGGTATGGCATGATGTGACTCAATATGGGCTTTCACTTTTTAAAAAAAAAAACACCCATCAAGATGGCTTTTATTTACTAAAAATGACATGTTTGAACACCATTGACTTCTAGTGCCTGGGCGATATACAAATCATGAATATTTGAGGGCATATAAGTAAATTAACATCAAGTGCTTACCCCTTCATATTCACTCCAAGGAGGTTTCCCATTCAACATTTCAATAATAGTACAACCTAAACTCCAAATATCAACAGCCAGAGCAACATCAGAACTAACATCTTTCTGCATCACAGACTGTAAGAGCTGCAGAACAAATGATGATGTCAGTAAGGGAAGCAAAGGAGATGGCCGCTAAGTCAAAAAATATATATGTTAAAGCAAGAAGATACCTCAGGAGCCATCCAGTATGGACTACCCTTTAAAGAAAGATTAGCTGCTGGCCCGCTAAGCTGCATAACAAACGAAATCTTAATTTCCAGTTGATCAGAAAACATCAAAACAATCACATAGCGCAAGGCTACACAGATTTTATTTTTTATTTTTTAAACTTTTCTACCTCTCAAGAATTGCATTCTGTTATGTGAAAGAGTATATTTGCATGTATTAGATATTTAGAAGGTTTCACAACTCACATGTTTAGCCATCCCAAAGTCAGCAAGCTTGACAACCCCATTTGAATCAACAAGCAAATTAGCCCCTTTGATGTCCCTATAAAATAAATTGTCATCAAACATGGCATGCCAAAAATGATACTCCAAATAATAATAATACTAACAGATCAACACAGAATTCAAAACAGATGCAACTTGAATCCATAGGCCTTTTCGTCTAATTGAGTTTGTCCAAATGGAGTTACATATGGAAGAGGTTAAACATGATAGAATTCAATATTTTAATCTTGTAATATATGGTAGTGTAACATTATATTCATCACATGATTACACATGATTGTTACCTGTGTATTGTCTTTGTGCTATGCAAGTAAGCCAACCCAGAGAGAATATGGCGAGTAAAACTGCGTACAACACATTCCGTAATTGCTCCACAATGTTCATGGACATATTTATTAATTGAACCAGGATGAACATATTCCAGATATATGTAAAATCGGTCTCCAATCTGCATGCATATAATTTTGATTGCTCATTTAAATGACCAACAGCATCTATGCAGACATACTGAGCATTAATGCAGGCTAATTATCATAATGTGTAATGGGATAATTACTCACTATTTCACTACCATAATACTGCACAATGTTTGGATGCTTTAGCTGGCTGAGAACTTTAATTTCCTGCATAATTGGGAAGGCATTAGAGCAACAACTTTTCCCCCCTCATAAGCATCCACAACAACAGCAAATTAACAAATAAATACACATAAGAATAACTTGGTGCGGAATGGATGCAAATTAATCAACACGAAATCCTTTCTTGTCACTCATTGCGGACATGATGCTGCTTCACAAATTTCAGGTGATAATTATAAGAATGACTTTGTATTGAATGTCAACATCATGTACTTCTGACACAATTATTTCTACAATAAGAGTAGATGTAATTTATCAATTCTAGTCTAGAACTCTTGAGAGTCAACCACTTCATAAAACTTATGTGGTATTTATTTGAAGACACTGTTTCCCTTTTATTTTGCAGATGTACTCAAGTAAAAAAAAAAAAAAAAACGTAAGACTTCTCTCATTACAGAAATGGCCTATTCTGTTACTTGATGGGATAAAAAACTATTCGGACATTAAATTAATCTCTCCATTAGCTACAATTTGCAGTGGTGCACTTCCTTGGTTAATGATTCATCATAACATATTCGCATTTATCGAGACAACTTTTGACATGAAAATGAACAAAATCAAAAATATAAAACAGATAATAAAGTAGAATAAAAACTGGAATACAACCTGCTCTAATTGTTTTATACTCTCTGCAGATTTTGGATCATCAGGACACAACTCAACTTCTTTCATTGCACATAAAGCTCCAGTTTCTCTGTTGAGAAAAAAGAACATTGTTGGTATTTAGTGCTCTGCAGAAACAACCTACAAAAGAAATACAGGTAAGTTTTACCTACCTGTTGCTGGCGACATAGACACTTCCAAATGTACCGCGCCCAATAAGCTTTCCCTTTTGCCATTGAGATTTTTTTGGCATCGAATCTGGTTTAGCTGTGACCTGAGGAACAGAAGTTTGCTGCGAAGGCGTGGTCGCTCCGGGAGGAAGAGGCAAGGGATGGACATTGGCTTGAGCATTACTATCACGCGGTGCTATTGGAATCTCGATGGATAATTTATTATGCAATGGTGATGGGGGTCCACTAGGACTTCTAGTGCGGCAAGGACTTACACTTGGACTATGGAGAGGCGAATTATCAACACTTAAAGCAGTTTTCTCAGGGTACATCTGATAAGAAAACCTCAGACCTACATTCATATCTAAAGGAGGCATATCTGGTGAAGACCAAACTTGAAATGCTTGAGGAGTCATATAGTGATATGGATAAATATCCCTAGTACTTCTTTGAGGGCTCATTGCAGGACTTGAGAAAACACTGGCTGGAGCACTAATTGGTACATTGATACCATAGTTGATACCATAGCTTTCTTGAAACCTTTCAATGCCACTCAGTTCTTGAGGAGTCATCCTAGATCGCTGAGTGTCAGCATGCTCCTTATTTCTTCGGAAGCCACGGGAAGCAAATGAACTGAAATATGACAAACATGCAAAAAAAGAGTCAACATAACATCAGAAGTGCAGGTCATCACCATGTGAAACCAATAGATAATTTAAAACATTCTACACCTAATGTTAACAACCAATTAAAATGACGTGTTCCAATTCACAAATAAATTGAAAGAAACGCTATAATCACCAGAAATTAAAAAAGAAAACTAAAATAAAGATTAACATAGTGAGCCAATTGAATCTTGGAAATATTTTATCTCAAGAAAACGAAAACATGCGATGCAAAAAAAAACTCAGTAGATTAGAATAATTTAAAGCAGTTATTCATTGTAAATTTGTAACCATTTGTTTCTCAAGAGACATAATTAGTACAAAGGTTCTCTAATCACTAAAGAGAAGCAAAACTTTTGAAAATAAACTATCAAAATAAAAAATAAAAAAAACATTCTGCATGCCCAATATCTCCTCTGCCTCTTTTTTGCAAGATGCATTGCAAGTAACAGTTAACACCTGATTAATTCAAACAAACAATATCAAAGCAACTTTCTTTCTTCTTCTTTTTTTTTTTTTTTGTGTTGATAAATAGATATCTGGCCCACTGGATTGACTAATATGGGGGAAAATCCACTCTAGCAATCTTCTTCCAATTCCACCGGGAGGGGGAAAATCTAACAAAATTGTTTGAAGATATAGGATGCCCAAAATGCCACGTCTGGAAATCAAATTGAAAATGTCCTTTTTCACCTAGGGTCTCCAGCATATTCTTTGTCAATGAAGTCATGGCCTTTTTTTTTTGAACAAAGTCATGTCCTTTTCTTATCACCTTAACCCAAGTCCACCTATGTCGTCATTTATTTCCTTTTACCAATATTCACGTGAATGTGAATGAAATAAATCTCTTTACAAGCATGCTAGTACGCCAAAAACCCTAATCTAATCTTCAATTCTGAGTTATATGTTATAATCAATAAATAAATGAATAATTAACATGATAAATGTAGAATTGAATGATGACAATAAAAATAATCATCAATGTCTCGTAATGTATCGAATTTGAATCAATTTCAATAAGGATATAATATAATGTTACCTTTCAAAGGTAGGGATGGCGGTGGGGGTGGTGACAGCAGCAGCATCGGCTCTTTCTCTCTCCTCTCCATATCTGCTGCAAGGCGGTTCTTTGGGCGATGGAAGAGGAACATTCACGGGGATCGAATTCGAATTATGAGATTCGACGGTGGCGTGGCGGAGGAGCATGGCCAAGTCGGGAAGAGGAAGGGGCTGCGGAAGCGCCGCAGAGGACCGAGGGGACAACTGATCGGGGCTGCACCACAACCGTGGAGGCTCCCCGACTTCGCTGTCGCTGAGGTAGCGGACATTCCTGGCGCGGGTGAGTCTCCGCCGCCGCGAACGGAAGCCGAGGCGGCGGAAGGGGAATATCTTACGCAGAGCACTATCGTCTTCGCAGTGGTGCTTGCAGGAGGATGAGGATGAGGATGAGAAGGAGGAGAATTGCCACCAATGCATTGGTAATTGGCCGCCTACCTAACAATGCATGGTAAGGTATGAACGCCGACGGTGGCGGTGGCGGTGGATGAGTTCGGGTGGACCCACCGGCCACCCTACGAATCGAATGAAACCCTAGGAACGTAGCCGGAGACGGAGGAGGAGGAGGTCGGAGGAGTTAGAGGTTGGGTTGGGTCGCTCTCGAAGAATGTAATGACAATCTTTCTCGCTCCCTCTTTCGGTTTTATTGTTGTGTGTGACGCGGTTTACGACAACAACGTATTTCCACTGGAAACGGGAACGAAAGGTGTCTGCATGATGTGCTTGCTTGAGGGGTCCAATAAAAATAGAAATACGAATAGAAATGATGGTGACACAGAATTTATTCACACAAAATAGAATTAACAAATGGAAAATGATCTACTCTTTCAAAAAAAAAAATTCATAAAAATATTCCTTTATAAATTTTAACCAATAAAAATCTAATGATACATTGTAAATGAATAAGTTTTTACCAATCAGAATCTATGAACAAATATTTTGTGAGAGATTTTTATGAGATGTAACATAGTTGATTAATAAATCTATTACTGTAATATTTTGTCGACTAATGTGAGGAATACAATTTTTTTAAACAAAATTACTATTAAATACTCATATGAATATAAGATTCATACTTATATAAGACTTGCATGAGCATTTGATATAAAATTAGAGTCTTTAACATTTTTTATTTTTTGTCCGTCCACTTATAAAGTTTTGTTTGGTAAATTTCCTTTTCTTAATAGATAAATTACACTAATCACCTTTAAAAAAATATATAATAAATATCCTTTATTTTTTATATTTAATTTTGATAAAAATAAAACATATTCAATTCTTATGTTTCTAAATTTTGTTATAATAACAAGAAGTGAGAGAGAGACTGAGAAAGGTGATTATCCGAGCAGATCGTTGGCATGGCTGAATGTGATGAGAAATCAAGAAAATAATGAAAATTTAAAAAAAAAATGAAAAAATATATTTTTTTTGTTACAAAGTTTAGTAAAGTTTATAAATTATCAATAATTTTCCAAAAATATAATACCTAATAATTTATTTATTTTTATATTTTTTTAAAATTTTATTGTAAGTATAAATATTACCACACGGAGTGAAATACCAATAAATTTCAAATATTGATTTTATGAACTATTAGTCTTTTTTTTTTTTTTTAAAGGACCAAAAAAAAATACAGATTTTTTTTTTTAAGGACCTAAAGATTCTATTCTAGTATAAATTACATAAAAGGTCAAATATTAACGCACGTGTATTATTTGTTGAGAGACAAATGTGAGTTTTCTCATAATATTCAAATTATTAAACGCAACACTTCAAAAGAAACTTATTAGTATACTTTTTCTAAACGTAATACTTCAATGTAACACTTAAAAAAACATAACACTCCAAAAAACACCTTAATGTATTTTTCTTAAACGTAACACTCCAATCAATATAACACACAAAAACTGCTTAGTATATTTTTTCCAAACGTAATACTCTAATGTAGCATAATAAAAAATTCTTTAGCATACTTTTTTCAAACGTAATAGCGTAATATTCCAAAAAAAATTTCTTAGTGTATTTTTTTCAAACGTAACACTCTAATGTAGCATTAATAAAATATTTAGTGTACTTTTCTCAAACATAACAACATAATATTTTTAAAAAAACTCCTTAGTATATTTTTTCAAAATGTAACACTCCAATTAATGTAACACCACAAAATCACACTAACAAAAATGTTGATTCCAACGTTCGACAACCAATACTTCACCCACTAATCCCTCCCAAAAAAAATCTTCCACACTTTACCTATCCATTCACATCCCAAAAACGAATTAGAAAATTAAAAAAATAAATCACAAAAGAGCATTCACTTACTCAAATGACACAAAATCAAATAAATACAACTTTCTAGAACAAAAAAAGACTAATTGGTTTAAAAGAAAACTCTTATACCAGTTTTTTGATTTTTTTATTTTTTTGGATCACGTCAGCTCTTTACTTTTTTACACGTTTTTTTTATTAAATTTTTTTTTTTCAAAAAGTTAGCTTTTAACCTACTCTCCAAAACAAGTAGATCAATATTCCTTATATGAGATTTATGGGATTTCATTTTGTTTGGTTAGAGTTTTTCAAAAATACTTTTCAAAAAATTTTATTTGATTTCATTTTGTTTGGTTAGAGTTTTTCAAAAATACTTTTCAAAAAATTTTATTTTCTTATTTTTCGTGTTTTTTTTACTGAATTTTTTAATATTTTAAGCACTTTTTTTTATTTTTAGACATACCTAACATAAATATACCTAAAAAATAAAAATTTTGTGAAAAAAACCTTTTAAAAATTCACTAAATACCAAAAATACAAAAAAAAAAAACGAGAACTCAGTACATTTTTTATATTTTTGATCTATTTCTTAATTTTTTAAAATATTTTTTCACAAATTTTTTACTTTTTAGATATATCTAAATAAGGTACATCTAAAAAATTAAAAAAAATGTTTAAAATTTTAAAAATATTCACTAAAAACAAAAAAACACGAAAACTAAAAAACTCAGTTTTCAAAAAATTTAATCTAAAAAACTCAAACCAAACACATCTATCTTTTTTTTTTCTTTTTTTTTTTTTAACAAATAAATTGGCTCTTTGATTTTAAATTTTACCCTTCAAATCTTATCCAAAAATTCAGTTTTCAATTAACATAAAAATTTGCTAAAGAGTAATGTTAGAAATCTTAAAAATTTTATTAAAGTTTTTACTAAATATTTCACATAGATTCGAAACTCATATGGAACCGACATGGTATGGGTCTCACATCTATATAAGACATTTAATAAAAATTTTAAAATCTTTAATATTTTGCTTTGCTAAATTTTGAAGTTCTGTTATGGAAGGAAGCCACCTGTCCAGTAGAAGGAATAAAAATTATTTTTTTTTGCATTGTCAACTCACCCTTTGTTTATTGTTGAGCCAATTATCTCATCATCAATTTTGTATTTGTATATAGCTTTAAGTTTAGAACTCTTATGCTTTAACTAAAGATGTAAAAAAAATAAAAAATAAAATAAAAATTAATTAGGGTCTACGTAGTGAATTCTTATCCATTATCAATATTTAAATTCAAATCTTATCTATGCATGATATAGTGTGTTATGAAATATTAAAAAATAATGCATACATAGGATGCATGACAATTATAACTATCATTAAAAAAATGAATGTAGATGAAAGAAAAAGAAACAATTTTTTTTTCCATAATATAAATATAATTTGAGCATGAAAAAATGTATAACATGGTTTAGTCAAGTAAATTGTATACTTTATATAGTAAAAAATATATTTATGACAATAATTACATGTAACATCAGGTTCAAGTTGCGAGAGAGACGTGAGTAGCCCAACTCAATCCTTAGCCTTGGGCTAGGTAATTTAACTTTTAAGCCCAACCTTGGTTAACTTGGGATCAATTGGGCCCGGCAACAGTCAAGCCAGAAGAAAAAGAATAATATTACGGATCATGAAAAATATATTATGAAATCCATAATGAAATTTTTTTATCCTTTGATTAGTGTGTAATGTTTTATTGAATAAGTAATCTAAAGATAAAAAATCTTTCATGATTATTTTCATGATCCCTTACTCAAACAGGAATCTTCTCAATCATATGTTACCTTTTCAGCAAGCTGTAGGGCTTGAAGGTATTTTCAGATCTTAACGGTTTGGTTTTCTGATGACTTTTTTGTTGACTTATTTTCTTTATTAATTTTTTTTTTTTAAAAAAATCAAAATATTTTAAATTTATAGATTCTACTTAATGAGACGGATCGATTTTTTTAAAAAAAAAAACTAAAAAATTTTGAAAAAAAGTTCAAAAAAACAAAAATAGTAGCTTTTTTTTTGGGGGGGGGGTTTATTTTGAATTTTTTAATTTTCTTTGGATTTTTTTTTTAAAGATTTGTCTACACAAGACATATCGAAAAATTAAATTATTTTTATAAAATTTTAAAAAATAAAAATTTTAAAAAAAATGTACTTATTTGGAAGTTCCTAAATAAGCACTAATAAATATTAAAATAAGGACACTTTTTAAAATTGTTGCCTTAAACAATAATATATTTTTTATTTTTATTTTTTTGGTGTGAGTCTTAGACAACTAGATTAAATATTAAATAAAGATAGTTTCTGAAATTTTGGTACTTCAACAATAAGAATATTTAAAAAAAAAAATTGTGAGTCTAAACAAGTTAAATGATCAAATCATCAATTAGAAAAAGTAATTGCATGCTCTTAGCCTTAGCAAAAATGCTAGAGGGTCCAAAAATTCTACCAAAAATTTTACCAAACGTGGGTGTGGGACCCACACAATGTGGGTGTATGGGTCCCACACCCATGTGGGACATTTGGTAAAACTTTTGGTAAAATATTTGGGGTCTCTAGCATTACTCTTAATTTTTTAAGTTGTGTGCAATATTTTGAGCTTTCAACATTTTTTTTAATCGTCACAAATACTCAGATATAAAAGCTCACTTTTGTAGTCCTCAATTCTATTGTTTGATATTTTTTTCCCCACAGTCCACCATAATATGATATATAATATTACAAGGATGAGTTTTCGGAGATAAAAATAGAATATACAGTACCTCCATTTTCTCTTACTTGGACTGGGATATTAATAAACAACACACATCTACTTGTAGGTGTAAATTTTTAAGATTATTTACATGAATACCTCTTAAATTATTAAGGAGTATTATTTTGATTATATAAATTATAAAATCGTATAAATAGACCCTTAAACGATTACGAAGTATCACTTTGTGTCATAAACTATAAAGGCGTATAAATAAACCTTATAAACTATGAAAACGTACAAATTAAACCCCTAACAAAGGGATCAAAGTAAAACATGCCAATAATTTAGGAAATTAATTTGTACGCATGCATAATTTATAGGTGGTTAAAGAGATAATTTTTAATAATTTAAGGGATCTCTGTGTAAATAACTTAAAATTTTGGATAAATTACAAATACACCCCTTGAGATTTGCTTAAAATACGGATTGCCTCCTATAGTTTGAAAAATTACAAATATCCCCTTATTAAAAAATTTTATTTAACAGAATTAACTAAAAAAATGAAATTCATAATTATTCTCCTATATAAAAATAAAATTACCTAAATTATTAATTAAAATATATTTTTAACATCATTAAAAACTA